AATTGACTTAACTCAAAGCTTTTCATCGTCAGCTGCTTTTCTTAGTGTTTATTTATTTTAAGAGAGAGAGAGAGAGTACAAGCAGAGGAAGGGTGGGGGGCGGAGGGAGAAGAGAATCCCAAGCAGGCTCTGCACTCTCAGCACAAAGCCCTACATGGGGCTCAAAGCAGGGTTCAACCCCACCAATGGCTGAGATCATGACCTGAGCAGGAATCAAAGTCAGCACTTAACCGACTGAGCATTTAGGTGCCCCAACCTCAGCTGCATTTTAAAAGCATCTGAGACACAATTACAACACTGTGATACTGTATACCCTTGAAACATTCTGTTTTGAAAGCTCCTGAAAACAATAGAAAACATAATATGAGACAGAAATAAGCACAGAATTAAGAAGGGAACCTTTATTTAACAGTAGCAGCCACCTGCAAAAGGTGGTGCGATCAGAGACACAGACAATCACTCGTTTTCTCTATTGTTCTCCTGAGCACTTGTTACTTGCACAGCATGTGTGTGTTACTTTAGTCATGCTAACCCATGCTTAACTTCTGTACTTAGGCTCTGCCACAATGTAGCATGTTTGTTTGCTCAAGATAAGCTTCAGGATCGAGGCGAGGCAGGTAAATGAGGACAAAAGGATGATGTGGGACAAGTTGTGATTTGGCATTGTCAAAAAATGCTTTCATTTTCAAACTCTTGCATTTGATGGACATCACTGTCAAGGATCCCTTCCACTGAGACATCACAAAGGAACTGAACCAATGACTTGTGAGGAAACACACATGTTAGATGGCCATTTATTTGTGCACAACTTTCTGTTACTCTGTGGCAATAGACTTCTAAAACCATAATAGAGTTAGAATAAAAATAGTCTAATGTGAAAAATAGAAACTGGCTATACTACACACACACACACACACACACACACACCACACACACACACACACACACACACACACAGGTTTTTTTCAGCATTAACTCTAAGCCTCCTTGGTAATCGGTAAAGAAAAAAATGAAATAAAGCAAGGGGACACTACAACAATTCATATGATCAGATATTGCTATTTTATAGCAATAATATGCAGGAATATGTTGGTATATATCCCAAATGTAACATGATGAATTTTTCTCACTATAATTATTCCTCAGGAAAGAGGGGCTGCCTTATTTTTAAGTCTTTGTATTTCTTGTATTACAAGCTTTCTTTTTTTTTTTTTTTTCATCAGGATCCTAAGACACATTAGCTTGAAATGCCCTGAATCGATTCTAGTTTTAGATGTTCTATGAAGGATAACTTATAGAATCACTGAAAAAAGAAGCAAAGACATTTTGTATAGATTTTGTTTTTGTGCCTGAGGATTTGACCTCACCGTTGTAGATGTCACTGTAAACATGACTCTCAAAGATCTCCTTAAAAAACAGGACACTAAGTTGTTACATAGTGGAGATCATTACTATACTCTTGCAGGATGAATGGACAACAAAAAATTGTTCTGGTGTCATAAAAAATCATAGTGTTGCTTGGGACAAATTTCTCATTGATACTATCCTACATTTTGAAAAAGCACTGCTAAGTAAGATCATTTCATTAAATGCCAGGATGGAAAAGCAATAACTCTAAATGAATATATGTTTTTATATTAGTTTAAATATGCACATATAATCAAATCAACAAATTAAATAGTATAGCTATATATTTCATTGTTCTATGAGCATCTTTAAATGACTATTCCCCCTAAAACATTTTCTCTTGCTTTATATCATTGGGAAAACAAGAGACTTACTTAAAATTGATATCACCTTATATTTGGGCATATATGTTTAAATTTTTATTCACAAATACTTGTAATCAACTAATACTAAAAGCAAAAAGAGTTTGTTCAATCTCTGTGTGACTTTTATGTATTTTCTTTTTTAACTAATGTGACTTCATTCTTTGAAAAGCAACTGAGATCACTTGATTTAAACAACCACAAATTCCTTCAAACACCATAAAGGAGCAAAGAAAAGTAAACACTGACACATTTTTTAAAGGATCTGTGCCATCACTACTCCAAAAGCACTAGTAAATTTAAAACCAAATATAAGCTTATATAATATTAGCATGATAAAACTGAGACATATTTTTTACTAAGAACCAGTGAAATCAAAGGAAGTCTTTAAGCTTCATGTTCACTTATACAACGTTTATTCCCATTGAAAATAGTTGAAATACAAGCTATTTTTTGAGGTTTTATTTATGAAATTGTAAGTAATTAATTCATTAAATCATATTTTTACCCTTGAATAATACCCTTTCTTTAAATAAGCTTTAAACTATCACATTAGATATTTCTTATATTTTTCAAATTGAAAAGAGATATTTTATAGTCTCATAAAATATGGTTAAAGACTTCTAGATGGTATAAAAGAGTCCTTAATCAGAAGCATTAAATAATCAACAATATTAATAAGAATTAAAATTACATGAATATGGCTAGAGTGAGTGTTTAGCAGATGAAGGTTTTAAAATTCATTTCCAGACTCTTTAAAATATTCTTAAAGTAAAAAAAAAAACCCAAACAAACAAACAAACAAACAAAAGGAAACAAAAGTAATCTCTATGACTACTGGTCCCTGTTAAATATGAGTGATTTCACATCAAACACTCTTAATCAAAACATGAAAAATACAAATATGGAGTCAGCACACTGGCTTTAAGTTTGGCCAATATTTAAGTCCCAATATTTTTAAATCCCAATATTAACTTTAAATCTCACATAACTGTGAGACATTTATCCCATTCCTCCCCTGTGTTCCTATAAATATATGACCTTTAGTGAAATCTGCTGCATTTGTCTTTTACTTAAAAAAATAACATTTATTTATTTTTGAGAGAGATGGAATCAAAGCACGCATGGGGTAGGGGCAGAGAGAGAGGGAGACACAGAATCTGAAGCAGGCTCCAGGCTCTGAGCTGTCAGCACAGACCCTGATGGGGGCTGATCATGACCTGAGACAAAATCGGTCGCCCAACAGACTGAGCCACTCAGGCATCCCTAAAACAATAAATAAAATGTCTTTCTAAGTAATATAATTCTATAGAAATGCTAGTCTGACCCTCTGTGATACTTAACTTTATGTGACAACTAATTAATTAGGCCACAGTATCCAGATATTTGGTCAAATGCCAATCTGGATGTTGCTGTAAAGGTTTATTTGGTTATATGAGGTTACATTGAAGTCAATACACTTTGAGTAAAGCAGATTACCCTGCATAATGTGGTCTTGTTCAATCAGTTGAAGCCTTAAGAGGAAACACGTGAGGTCCCTGGAAGAAGGGATTTTGTCTCCAGTCTGGAGATGTGGGCTCCAATATAGACTCTTCCCTGGGTCTCCAGTCTGCTGGCCTACTGTGTATATTTCAGACTTGCCAGCCTCCACAATCACTTGAGCTAGTTTCTTAAAGTCTCACTCTTCCTCCCTCACACTCCATCTCTCTCTCTTTCCTTCGTTCTCTGCAGATAGTTATCATCTCTCTATGCATCTATTTACATATAGAGATAGAGAATACTTGTCCCCTAATAATGTACTCTAAAATATATTTTGTTCACATGTTTATTGTCTGTCCCCTACTAGGCTGTATGTATCTATAAGGACAGATATTTTATCTGATTGTTTACTAACTCTAATGCCTTTTACAAAGGAAACCTCAAAAATATTTTGTTGAGTCAATAAATTAGATTTTTAACCAATCTTTCATTATATATTAAAGTTTAAAATGAATTAAAATTTTCATCTTATTTTTATTTATTTTTTTAATGTTTATTTATTATCGAGAGACAGAGAGAGACAGAGCATGAGCATAAAGGGAGCAGAGAGAGAGGGAGACACAGAATCCGAAACAGGCTCTAGGCTCTGAGCTGTCAGCACAGAGCCCGATGCAGGGCTCAAACTCACAAACCAGGAGATCATGACCTGAGCCTAAGTCAGATGCTTAACTGACTGAGCCTCAGGTGCCCCATAAAATTTTCATTTTAAATCTGGAGTACATCAAAGAGGAAAACCTACAGTAAGGTAAAACACATAGTGAATTTCTATCTTAGGAGGAGTGGGAACATTTATTATACTAATTTGACTACACTTTAATTATTAAAATGGAGCTGGTTTCTAACTTTCTTACTGTTACCTACACAGATTCATAATAAATCCAGATATTAAGACCATGATAAATAGCTGATATATAGATATTTATATTCTATATATTTAAATTATCTAAAGCAACAGCTCCATATTTTTATTACAGTTCATGAATTCACTTCCCTCCCACCCTGCCCCTGTGCTTATAATAATGGATGAAGGTTTGGAAATTCAGTGTATACTTTTAGTTGTTTGCTAGAATTAAATAGTATGAATTTCATTACTTTCCGTAAAAGTTTAATCAAAATCTATCATCCAATTAGGAACCCAGTTAATTAATGAAGTCTAACTCAACTTGAAGTAAATACAGCTTTTTAATTTCAGTTTATTTTGAAACATGGAGATACTTAAACTTATTATGGGAACAGGTTCTACAATTCATACTCTCAAGCCCATTCATAAGAATAAAGTCACAAAACTTTGCAAAATCATGCATCTTCTAAATATATTAGACTAAGGTTAATTTTTTAAAAAAGTTATATCACCTGGAGTGAGGAAAAAGTATTTAATCTATACACAAGACAATTACAGGAATGACGAAATATGATATCTAGAGAGAAGATAATGGTTAAGAGAAGGCATAAAACATTTTTTTGAAACAGAACTGAAACTGTTTATTTTATTAAAAAGTTGACATGGGCATGGGTTATCTTTAGTGTTTATGACTTGCAAACTAAAGTATTTAATATTTAACATGTTTAAATACAAGCAGCAGCAGTTTGGTAATCAAAACGAATAATTTGAATCATCTTAGAAAATATAAATTCATTATAATTAGGATATTTCAGAATATGATTAAAACATTTAAAAGAAAATGTATTCACCTTTCTTGTCATCAAAGTACAGAGTCTGTTGAGCTGGATTTGACCACTGGAGGGAGGTGTTATCATTTTGATCAACCCTGCAGGTCAAAATCGCAGTTCCACCTTCAACAACCGTTACATTCTGTGTTAGTGGAAACTGCCCTTGGCTGCCTAAAAGGGGATTAAAGAAAATGTTGATTAAATGAGAGTTATAAAATGATTAACTTCCCAAGAGCTACATTGGGCTTAACTTCTCACTCCAAATAAAATTTAAACCAACCAAACAACATAACTATGTATTATGAAAAGACAGAAAAAAATAATTGAAAATCCTTAATCAGAGGACAACCGTTTCGACATATGATAAAGACTCCTTCAGACTCCCTTATATGTTCCAGGAAACCTTCTTTTCCTCCTAGGCACACATGAAGATTTATATGCAAATAGTAACATGATTGTCATTAATTTCCTTTGGCCTTGCGTTAATCATATGGAGTGGTTCTAGTCATCTTTGAAGATAAGTCACTGGAATAATTTTGGCTGAATTGAACTCTCTAAAGCAGCAGAGGAAACACACAAGACATTTCCCTGGCAGCTTTTATAATCCTGAATAAAGTCTATGCAATACGGATACTAGACTTTAGATTCAATTTTTGATAACATAAAAAAAAGGAATCTTATTTCTACCAGAGTTTTTGTAGATGTAGCTGTTTTTAGAAACACAAAATGTGTTGGAGAAAACAATGTAAGTATTTTTCAAGAAGTGTTTATCTTGTGGAATATCCATCAAACCCTTAAAGAGTTTAATTTAGGGTAAGAGATAATATTCTCCCTTGTTCCTTTTCCTTGTTTCCTGATTTCCCCAATGAATATATATTTCTTTTATAATCAAGAAAAAAAAATCTTGTATTTCAAATGACCCTTGTTAAACGGGATGTCATTAGAATATAATCAAGTTTTCTATCTTCCCAAGTATCATACGAATTTATTAAAATAATTCATATAATAACTTTACTTAATAAGAACACTTCTTATAGTTAAAACAAAACTCATGCACATGGAAACATAACACATAAATTTCACTCTAGCAAGATGATCTGGAGATGAGCTCTGTTGAGTCTGGTAACAATTATCAACATGGGTAAAAAATGACTTTCCAGAGCCAGGTTAAAATACTATTATGTGAGCAAGGTAGTTCATTAAGCCAAGGATAATTTACATATGCAAGAACATTATGATGACTTAATCACACCCATGAAATATATTTCCCTTTTCTTCTTTCGTTTTGTAATGATTCTATCATTACTACAAGCACCACTTGAAATTATGCTGGAGCTATTGGCATAAAGGATCTTATTACCAAGAAGCCTGTTGATTGGCACCATAAGAGACAGAAGAGCCTGAAGGGGAAAATTTCTTTCCAGCCCTAAGTGACACAAGCACAGAGGTTCATGACCATGTTATATAATTAAGCCTATCAAGTATAAAATCTGATATCAGTAGCTTTGTCTTCTCAATGCCAACCTCTTAGAGTCACTATGGCAACTCCCCAGGATATCTCCCTGTAATCTTTAGGGTGGAGTTTTTAAATTGAGGTTAGGAGATGCCTGGAATAAATTCTTTGATAGTTGACTTAAAAGTCAACAGGAGCCAGAGTGGGATGTGTTTTGCCTTCAGCTCAGAGGTGACCTCTAGCAGGGTAACGTGGAGAACTATCAATCTTGTGAAGTGAGGTGAGGCGAAAAACTACATAAGAGAAAACATGAACTAAAACAGAAAGAAGGAATAATTACCAGAGATATCAGATGAGCAGCTCGTAAATATGAAGCTCAGAATGATTTTAAGATATTTTGCTCAAATTCCCAGGTATTGTTGTAACATAAATTGAACAAGCTGGGGGAGGTGGGATTCTTTAAGTAGTAAAAAGCACACATCTGCTAATAAGAATACACAGTTCACCCCAGATGACAATTTGACAATCAACTGGTACATAAATAATATCATCTGCTTCTTTAAAGAAGTGGAATAAGAGCAGTGATGCTTGCAATGATTTCATCCACTGCATTTGCAAAATAATTTTCAAAACATCCCCATAAGAAAATCTTACCCTTCTCATTTCACAGATGGGTAAACTGACACTGGGAGGTTAAGTGATTTTCCATGGTGAAACAAAGTCAATGAGCCATTTGGAGTTTGTTCTGAAAGTTCAGTATTTTATTCTTATTTTTCCAGAGGCTGCTGAGCCATAGTAACTTCATCACTATTGGCTTAGGTGTGAATCAGACAACAAGAACAAAATAAATGAGTAAACCCTTGGACAATGAAATTTCCAATTGCATACCTAGCTGAGCTATACTGTCATAAGTTTCAGTTATAACATTAAAATCAAGTAACAGAGGATGTCAATATCAAGTGCTCTTAAATATCCTGTCCTATTGAGAACTCACTTTGGACAATTATTTCAATCTTTCTTTACTGGCCTATAGAGGAAAGGAAGCAATAATTGTTTGGGTCTTCTACATGCCAGTTCCTGTATATACACTAGCACATCTACACCTGTCCTTTCAGGTAGGAGATTAGGACAGCTTGCCTCCATCTTCTCCCCACGTGGATTCTGACTTTGAAGTATTATGACTTCAGTTCCCTGGGACCTGCAGCCTAAAATCCCTGCAGTCAAATAATTTAGTTTTTCCCAGTAGAGAGCAAACTCATGTGGATAATCTACTAATCTTAAATACCCTTAGGATATGTGGTTTCCAAAATCAATTCAAAAGCCAGTTTTGTAGGCAGTCAAACTTCTTCTTGGGCTTTGAATTGCCTTTTACTTCTGGTTATAACCTGGAGAGAACATCAGGTTCACAGCTACTTTTCCCTTTTAACTCCTTGTGGCTCAAGGTTGTCATTTAATTCAATTTCAGAGAGTTTTTCCAAAGAAGTTAACAATTTTCCCAATTAGCAAAATTAGTATGTTACCAAATTAAGGATTCATTTGCAGTGCAATCATCAAATATTTGAGACGGCCTACTACATGCCTTGTCTTGTATGAATCAACATCTGAAACATGCACAGAGGAAGAAAAACTTCCTGAAGAGGCTGCAGAATTCAGAAACTTTGGGAGAGGGTGTGATGGCCAGGGAGAAGGCAGTCTAGGTGAGGTATATAACTCATTATTTTTTCCCAACTGTAAGAATTTGTGAGATGTTTTGGCCATACCATTTGGGGCCTTACTGTAAATGATCCTTTCTCTAGCTAAGCTCAGCACTATCCTAGGTTTCCGAGGAGTTATTCTTATCAAACAAGTTTATGATCAAATTTAAAGGAAACAAAATTTCCAATTTAGAATTGTAGAAGCTGGCTATTTTTACAGGCAGTTTATGTCCATCATTTTCCTCCTCCCCTCCTTGTATTTGTGCCCTTTCATTATCTGCATAAATATCAGTCTCCTTTACTTATTCCTAAGATAATTAAAGGGCAGGTGTTGAGGTTGTCTTCCTTACCTTTGAATCAGCTACATTGCTTAACATTCTACATTGTGAGTTGGAACTCCCAGTGGGTGTTCATTGTCCAAAATGAAGCATCTTCACAGGGCAGGGGCTGGCATTTATAGGGGGATTTGTGACAAAATGACCAGAGTAACTTAAGTCTGCCAGCATTTGTTCATGGTCAAAATAGAGGGGCAGGAGGGAGAGATTCTTTGGCAAGAAAAAAAAATATGGAAAATTTAAATAATAAAACCTTTATTAATAGAATATCTTAAGATAGTTATTTTAAGTTCTAATTGGAAATCATGAGGAGTGTACTTAAGATATAACAGATTGTGATCTAGAAAAGAGACATCTAATAACATTGTCAACCCCCAAAATGAAACATAAAAAGACAGACTGTGCCAAATTTATGCTGCAGAAGGGAAAAAAACAAAAGATAATAACTTTTCTTGAGTATGAAGTATAATAAACCCTACCTAAGCCCTTTTAAGTAGACAGACCTCAGAGACTGGACATATTCTTCCCTTCCCCGTCCAATTTCCCTTGCATCAACATCCATTTTAACAGTACTCTTCCTCTGTTATCTCACCCTTCACAGTCACTAAGCCAATGGTAAATATAAGAAAAATACAGCTAAACTTACCTGAGCCTTCACAATATTCTAGACACTATTTTAAGTGCATTTCTTTTATCAGTGATTTACGTTTCATGCCAACCTTGTTGTCATCTCTACCTTGAAGATGTGGGAACTGATGCAAAAAGAGTTTAAATAATATGCCCACATCCACAGCGCTAGAAAGCAGAGCAGCTAGGTTTTGAACTCTTGCACTTTGTCTTCAGACCTCATGGGCTTAACCAAAAAACTGCTTTGAAAATAAAGTGAACTTAATTCTAACTGAGTGACTTATAAAATGAGCATAGAGTTTGGAGTCAAACAATTCAAAGATGCATTTAAAACTTTTACATTTTTTTCAATTAATTTTTATTTGAAAGAAAGAGAAAAAGAAAGAGACAGAGAGAGAGAGAGATTGAGAACACGTAAGTTGTTAACAGTGGCAGAGGGACAGAAAATCTCAAGCAGGCTCTAAGTCCAGCACAGACTGGCCTCGTGTGGGGCTTGATCCCAAGACCATGAGATCATAACCAGAGCTGAAATCAAGAGTCATATGCTCAACTGACTGAACCATTCAGGTGTCCTCTTTTACAACCATTTTTAATAATTGAAGGAACACTTGAAATTCAAGTAAAAGCTGTGATATGCTTGAGCTGAGTCAGACCAGCTCAAGAGAGTCAACTCTTCTCTCTTTAAGCTCAATGACATGCCTTGGTAGCTGGAATATCACCACGCTGAGAACCTTTTCACTATGGAAATCAGCAAACAACGCAAGTCAGTGGTTTTTTTTGCCCACAGAGCCAGTTGTTAAACATTTATAAAACACCACTGGAAAAGCTACCTTTGATGTCTCTTGTTGGGACAGCTGGGACTTGTTGGGACTTGTTGGGACTGTCTCTTGTTGGGACATGCACATCTAGCATATATAAAGTTTTTATTTCTTTCTGAAAACCAATGAACTCTTTCTAATGCAATACAGTTCATTTTTGAAGTTCTTTTCTTCATTTTTTGAGTCTCCTCAGTCTTATTTCCCCCTTTATCCTCAAATCATTTTCCAAGAGTCCTTTTCCCCGCCCACACCATTATTCAGTAAAAGTCCTTTAAATGATCTCCTTTCTTCCCTCTACTCTGTTGAACCTTCTTAGGCTGCCAAGTTTATTTCTAACTAGCATCAGTGCTTGAAAACCATTTAGGTTAGTTTCAGTAGTTATATGGAAACAATTTGCTAATTTATTGCTGTGAAAGACACTTTAATGAAGAGCAATGATTCAATAACCTGCAAAGATGGGTCTCCTGACCCTGTCTTTAAATAGCAGAAAGAGAAGCTGCCATTATTCCTTCAATGTTTCCATTTCTCATATACTTAGGGAAAAATGGTTCAAACCTTTCCTTGTCTAGATTAGGAATTACCAAACTCAAAATCAAATGAACTGAGTCTCGATCCTGTTGGCCTCAGTTGACCTCAGTTAGTTACAAGCTGTCCTTGCTTCACACATTTCAAGAATGCTTTCATTGACTGACCACGCAGAACCTAACACACTGTCACATAGTACATAAAGAAGCAAATTCTAAGATCATGGCCACCTCAACCTTGCTGACAGGCTGTGATGTGCCATTACCATAGAGAGGCAAAGCAGCAAAGGGAGCTCTTTGAAGCCAGCAGTATTGTTGAAAGAGAGCAGACAGGCAAAGACGCATGTTTGAACACTGATCCCCAAACACAGCTCTGCTTCCAAAACCGGCATCATTCAAGCCTTGCTATCACCTGAATGGATGATGAGTGAAGGCATTGGTTTTCTCCATCTGTCTCCCTGCGCTAAAGATTAAATGTGGGCCACAATAGTGGATCAGTGCACAGTGTGCATGAGTGCTTACTTACTAAGAGCAATAATCACCTGAGATATATCTAGACAGACAGGCAGAGGTTGAGTCTCTGCACATCTTAGAGGGAGTGAGTTGCAGTCAGTGATTTTTCAGGGTAAATCATCAAATTTTGTGGGCTATTTAACAGGAACTGAGGACCCTCATTATTTTTCTTCCTGAAAATGAGCACAACTTTCTCAAAGGAAGAACAAGCTTTAACAACAGTGAAGAGGAACAAATAAAAACAAGATGTGAAGAGAATTTAAGATATAGTTTTTCAATAAGAAAGCATGAACTTCTCACGAGATAAAAATGCCACCTATTTTGATCCTTCATTTTAGAAAATATTTATACTTCATGAAAACTGTCAATGAGGCCTACAGAATCATTTAATTAAATAGAGTTGTTAGCATTTGAATCAAACGGCATATATAATGTTTTGGCTTGTTTTTAAATATTTTTGTGTCTCTCCAGAAGCTCATTTCATTTTATTTTATTTTTAAGTTTATTTATTTATTTTGAGAGACAGAGAGTGCATGCAGGGGATAGGCAGGGAGAGAATCTGAAGCAGGCTCCAAGCTTTTGGTGCAGAGCCCAAGAAGGGCTTGATCCCACAAACCAGGAGATCGCGACCTGAGCTGAGATCAAGAGTTGGACGTTTAACTGACTGAGTCACCCAGGTGGTCCCAGAACCTTATTTTAAATGCAAAATACTAACTAATATTAAGGTTCTTATATTTTGGTTATGAAAAGCAGAAGTGCCAAATGGATCAACAGATATATAATATGCTAAAGGTTCTGAAATATAAGAGATGACAGAAATAGGCAATCCATTTTTAACTGAAATACAAAGATAGCTTACTGTGCTTTAGGTCTTTCCCTCAACTCTTCTCAACTTTGTGTTTCTTTCCCTCCCCACTCCCTCTCTTCTGTTCAATCAACAAGTTTGGGATTTATACAAAGAGCCTGAATCTTAGAAAGTTCAAGATCATTCTTATTGCTTAGAGCCTAAAAATATATCTAAATGCACACACAGCATGCTATTACTTCCACTAAATTACTGAAGGCATTCTAAACAAATAACCTTCTAATGTGAAAGTTGTGGCTCAGTAGTTGTGTGTACCAAAACACATATTGCATACTAAAGCTTATTAGATTGAAAGGCACAAATGCTATTAATGCAAGCTTAAAATTCTCAAGAGAAGTGCAATAAATGCTCTGTCATGTGAGACAGGAAATTGGAGGAAAGATTAAGACTGATAACTAAGTGCAAAATGTTTCCACTTTTGGAATGTCCCTCTGTTCTTACGAATATTTAGAATTCTCTAGTAGTTTTCCTATAATTTCATTCTAGCTCTTAGGTTTGTCAGAAAAACTTTAAGTATTCTGTTTTTGGAGGCTACCACATCACTTATTTTTCTTTGACTCTGTCCTTTCAGGATTCAGTTTGCCTTATAGGGACAACACCTGGTATCCACCTTCTGTGCCACCCTTGTGCCCAGCCACTATGGAGCATGGCCATCAGTCTGGTGCTGGTTGCCAGTTTCCATAGAGACAGGAAGCACTTTGGAGACCTGTGTTCCATTGCAACTGCCAGACCAAGGCAGGGAAGAAACAAAGCTGGCGGGCAGTGGGTCTTGCAAGGCCAGGAAGGTTGGAAGGGCTTTCTCTTTCTGATATCAGAGCACAACAGTGCCAAATTGGCAGCTTCAGCACTTGCAATCCTGTAGACCAGATTCTGGTGTTCACTATGGCCATTGTGAGCGACCCATTCTGCTCCCAACTCCTGGAGCAGAATCTTTGTGTACTCAAAGTTTGGCCCAGAGCCTTTGTTGGCTTCTGATCCATGACAAAAGGCTCTTTCAGATTTACAGTGGCTCCCACAGCTCCTGACCCAGAGAATCATAATTCTCCTGTAGAAATTTCACCTCTCTTTCCCTTTTCCAGAATGTGGTAATAGGTTTTCCTGGACATTCACAGCAGAACAGGAAACCGATGGGATTACCATTGGATTCTTTCCAATTAACCTACACAGTAACTGTGAGTGGGTGGCCCAGTTAACTACATAACATCATATCAAAACTAGTTACCATTTGCTGTGTCTATGATAGGATTTATAATTAGAGTCAATTCTTGATTATCAGAATCAGAGCTGGCTCTGAAGAAATTTGTAATGGAGGTGAAACATAACATCAGAGCCTTTCCCTACTTTTCAAAAATGTTTTTGTGAGATTGTAGACTTTAGCCTTCTGTATTATAAATATTCCCAGCAGTTATATTTTCTACCTAAAGTATATGTCTTCAATTTCTTCCATTAATTTTATATTACTCAGCCGTATCACAAAATTTATATTTTCCTTAATTTACAAAATTTTAAATTGCAGATAATATTTATAATATCCTAGGAAATATTATTTTATAGCTGTTTTATGTCCTTGCTTACTGGTTGTATTGCTTTAATATGTTTTAAAGCATCATCTGATTTTTAGAGGCACCTGGGTGGCTCAGTTGGTTAAGCGTCAGACTTCGTCTCAGGTCATGATCTCATGGTTCGTGAGTGTGACCCTCATGCAGGCTCTGTGCAGATAGCCCAGAGCCTGGAGCCTGCTTCAGATTCTGTGTCTCCCTCGCTCTCAGCCCCTCCCCCCCACATTCTCGGTTTCTGTCTCTTTCTCTCAAAAATAAATAAACCATTAAAAAATTTTTTAACATTATCTGATTTTTTAAAAATATGCCCAACATTTAAAAAACTTTTGTTTGTACATAATCAGTTCTTCTCATTCTTTTCCTGTTTTTCTGCCTCTTATTCTGCAAAAATAATAAACAAAATAATAAACAAAAATAATAAATATACTATAAATAAAATTATTATTATAAATATAATAAAACAATAAAAAGTTGTTAACATATCATGAACTTAGTAGACTAAATTAATACAAATATATCGGATTTTGCAACTGAAATAGGTTTTTGAAATAAAGACATTAAAATGTATTTGCTTTAATTAATTTATCTATATTTAACTTATTCTCTAAAGGATTTTGAGTTTTCTCAAAAAATGAAATAGTAAGTTATTGAATGGGCATGATAATTTTTCAAGAAAAAAATGAACTTGATAAATTGTTCACATTTATTTTCATAAAGCTGTTTTTCTTCCTATACATATGTATCTTCAAGTATTGTAATGTGGAAAAATAAAAAGCAAAGGAAATAATTTTAAAATGAAAAGGAAACTGTACATCCTATAAAGCATTGTAAAAGAATAAGAGAAATTTAAAGTTTTTTTTATAACTTCGTATAGACTTACATGGTAATTATCATGTGTGTATAAATTCATTTTATCTCTCTAGAATACTGGTTTCAGGGTGAATGACAAGACCTAGATAGAACTGACTAGCTTTACTTGCTAACTGATGAACATTTGAGAGGCAGCCTTCCAGAGAAAAGAAATTTATGACCACAATCACAGTCTGGTTCACAGGAAAGCTCAATCACGTAACTAAATTCTAAATTGAGATGTCAACCTGGAGGAAATATTCTGGAAAGGAACACACAGATGGTAGGACTCTTCTAAAGACAGGGTGAGGAATATAGTGCTGAATGTACAATAATAAATCTTCTGGCAGAAAAAAAAGTACTGGGTGGGACAACTGTTTAAAATTGAAGTTTCTGGCAAAAACTTTAACCTCACACTAAAAAAGGCAAAAAGTGCTTGCTTTGGCAGCACACATACTAATACTGGAACGATACAGAGAAAATAAGCATGGCCTCTCTGCAACGACGACAAGTAAGAAGGGGGAAAATGATACCTATGTTTTCTATTTCAACCAGTAGGTCTTAGAATGTCCATTTATTTAAAGAAAGTAACAAAATTAAATTTTACAATATATAATAACCTTGAGAAAAATTAAAATTCCTAATAACATTTCTAGGAGCAAACTAAATGAAAAAAAAATGCAAGAAAATAAAAAAAGTATTATTAAACCCTAATTTCAAATACATAATTGCTTAAAAAATACAAAATGTAGCTACATAAATAAACAGAAAAATGAAAGCTGTAAATTGAAGAGATACTTGGACTTCAGTCTGGTTTTCATGCTGGTATTCCCTAATTCCAAATAAAAAAAATATCCAAATCAAATTAATCATTGTGTAATTTATTGTTGCTAATTAGTGATTTGACTTACTTGCAGGAGTAATTTTTTGTTAATAATTTTCTTTTGGATGGCTCCACATCTTTGCATACTCAGCAACCATAAAATTATATTGACTATTAGCCAGGTTGTCTATGCATTAATATTTTTTTCACATTTTATTCTCTGCAGAAAATTTAAGTAATTGCATTGGTATATTGAATAAAGATGTTTATGTAAAGAGCAACAGAGACATCTATTTTAATTATCACTCTTTGGATTGTGGGATGTAATAGGAAATTTTGAGATGTCGTAGATATAAGATACAACTAAGAAAAAATAAGGAATCAAACATGTCATCCAATAATATACAAAAAGTTTATATTAGACATATGAACTATATACACAAAGATATACAATGTTAATGCTTTCTGAAACTTATCTTCACATTTGTAGTGGATTTTGTTATAATATATACTTCATGACATTAATTTATTCAACAAATAAATGCTTTGTGCCTCGAATGTGTTTCAACTGGAAAGTGCTAGAGATACAATTGTGAACAGTCTAGAAATAAAGTTTTATCTTTAGAACGTATAGCCTAAATATAAACAGTAAAACAAGAAAACACAAATTTATAAAGGAAAGGCCTGGCTAAGAAGGTGGTGAAACCTTTTAGCTGAAACCTAAATGGGGAGAAAGACCCAGCCATTTAAAAATTGCCAGTGGATGAAAATGTTGGAGAGAGGTGGCCAGTATTTAGAAAAGTAAGTTAGCTGATGTAAAAGATCCTAAGCAAGAGGTGGACTACTGAAGGAACTGAAAACAAAAAAAACAAAGCAGAACAAAACAAAAACTAGTGAGTCTGGTGTGTGAAAAACAACAGGCTAGATGGACCAATATAAAGGAGGAAAAGAGGGGGCAACACGGCAGAGGAGTAAGGAGCACCGTACTTGCACTCGCGCCCATACATCACACAGAAAAGATCTGAAGCCATTGGAAACCTTACAAGACCTGAGAGATTGGGAGATAAATGACTCAGAATCCACTGAGAGAGTCTTCTAACTTGAGTGCGAACCTGGGAAGATAAAATCGGGCGGGGATCGGAGACTCCAGGGTGGGAGGCAATCCCCCTTTACCCTCTACAGGGAGTGAGAGGGAAAAAGGAGAGAGTCCAAAACAGAAAAACCTCCGCTTGGTGCATACAAAGACCGTACTTGCCAAATACCTGCACGCCAGGGCCCTCGCGCCAACTGGTCCCGGAGTGGGGGGGGGGGGGGG